GGGGATCGCGGATCTTCAACGAATGAACACCGCTACACCGCACTGATCAGCTGCTTCTTTACTAAATCACAAATCACCTCGAAATCATCAGCGATTTTTTTACCTTTACCATCCCCCCCTCCCCTTTTCATCTCTCCCCCCATCTTCCTCCTCGACCATCTTCTCATCTTCCTCCTCTGCCCCTCTCTCGCCCTGTCACACTCCGCCACCTAACATCCAGATCGTTTTGCCCGACTCTCCCCCCAAAACCCCTTCTCTCCATAGTCTTCTTCCATCGCGACCATCCACTTCCTCTGCTGCTCTTCTTCATGATCAAAATCCTATTATAGAGAGGTTGATGTCTTCGGACAGGAGGGAGAGACGAGCGAAGGGACGATAATGACGTGGGGGGAGGAGGGGAGAAAGAAGGACAAGAGGAAAGGGTGGGGAGGAGGAGAACAGGGGGAAGGGGGAAGGGGGAAGGGGGAAGGAGGAGAGGGGAGGACTGGAGGAAGGGGGGAGGAGGTATGGAGGCGGAGAGAGGAAGAGAGAACACTAGCAGGAGGCGGCGATGGAGAGAGGGACGGCGAGGAGAAGGTTGAGAAGAGGAGGAGGGGGAGGAGAGGATAGACCCTTGACATAGTAAGCGGACAGGGAGCAGGCAAACAAGACGTCGAGGAGTAGAGGGGTAGAGGGGGATGAAGAGGGGTACAGGAGGATGAGAACAATGGGTAGAAGAGGACGAGATACTGCTGCTGCTGTTTGTAAACGAAGGCAGCGCCGGTGGTCCCCACCCCCCCCGCCCAAACCCCCCAAAATCCCCACACCATCACAAACGGAGCGCTCCTCGCAATCATTCGGTAATCCAAAGTCATTCCGTCCTCTCCTTGTCCACCTGTCCTCATCCTCCTACACTCTCCTCTCCTCCTCCCCTCCTCTCCTCATCTCCCCACTTATCCTCTCCCCATCTCCTCCTTGACTGGCGATGAAGCTTTTTCTCGCACGTTCGCGCGCACCCTCAGTCGTGCTTGCTCCTAACACATACTGTACAAATCATGATGATCATCGCTTGGCCGATCTTCCGCGTCACCGAGGATATAAGGGCTCCTATCCCAGACATCACCGAGGAGAGCTGAAGAAGGGAAGACACAGAAAAACTGCAGACGAACGAGAGACGAACGAGAGACGAAGAGGGAGGAGGCGGCAGAGAGAGCGGACAAGATTACGAACGCGCGCGGAGGAAGACAAACGGTTGACAAGGAATGAGGAGTATGATACGACATCTCAAGGAAAAGAGGAGCTGACCAGGACAACCAATGCCTACCTGCCTCAGGAAGAGGAGAAAAGAGGAGAACAGACAGGAGAAAAGAGAGGAGAAAAGAGAGGAGAACAGAGAGGAGAAAAGAGAGGAGAATTGATAGACAGGAGCGAGTAAGTGGAGGAAGTCGAGGAAGTTGAGGACGTCGAGGAAGATGGTGTAAGGAGGTAACGAGGAGGCAAGGAGGTAAGGAGGAGGCAAGGAGGTAAGGACGAGGGAGAGGTAAGGAGGAGGTAAGGAGGAGGTAAGGAGGAGGTAAGGAAGAGGTAACGAGGAGACAAGGAGTGAGGTAAAGAGGTAAGGAGGCGGCAAGAAGGAGATAAGGAGATAAGAAGGAGATAAGGAGGTGGAGGAGGAGATGACTTGGGAGGAAATGAAAAATTGAGGGTTAAAAAAAAGCGTCCACTTGGACTGCTGATGGTGAACACACCGCTGCAGGGCCGAGATATGATAACCGTGCATAACATTCGGACCACGCCCGGACGCTGACTGTGCGCCTCCTGGACTATGCCCGCGACATCGGCAGCGTAAACAGAGCGCGCCCCAAGATCAACTGTTTACCAGATCAACTGTCTCTTCATGCCCTCGTCTGCCTCACCACCTCCTCCTCCTCCTCCTCCTCCATGTCTTGTAATTATCCGCCTCCTCCTCCTTCATGTCTTGTAATTCTCCTCCTCCTCCTCCTCCTCCTTCACGTCTTGTAATTCTCCTCCTCCTCCTCCTTCATGTCTTGTAATTCTCCTCTTATCCTCGTTCTCCCGCTCCTTCTGTTGTTCCTCCCATCCTACTCTTCTCCACTCCGCTATTGCTATCCTTGGGTGCAATATTCCATATTTCAGTATCAATCAGGTTTTGCCTGCTTTTCTTCGACATCAACCTTCCGGGGGGATGAGAGAAGATGGGAGGTTTGAAGAGGACGAGGGGGAGGATGAGGGGGAGGACGAGGGGGAGGACGAG